AGTGGGAGCCGTAAGTATAGGGGCCCCTTTTGGTCTCTGGAGCCTGTTCCCCAGACTTTGGCCATGCTGTTTTCACATATGGGAAAATGCAGGTAGAATTTTCTTTCCAATCTTAACATCCTCTGGTTAAATCATATGCTTGCATTTCTCAGCCACTTCTGTCTAAATATGTTTTCCTAATGAGGCATTATGTTTCTGTGAAATCAAGCTGTTTTGCCTCAGAAAGAATATTTTGTCTAAAAAACACCCTACAAACCCTGTTAGTTTGCAGACAATAACATATTATTTTAGAAAACAATATATGATGATACTCCTACATGCTGGTGGCCAGCAATTACAGTTTACTTGTGTTCCCAAAACATACTTTTTGAACATGGGTTCCCATAGAATTTATGACAGATAACAGGTTTCCAGGCTAGCCCAATGTGCCTAATCAAATGAAAAAAAAATCTATAATACTACTATTGTAATGATCAAAGAAAAATAAAACTGAAAGTGTTGGAAGTCACTGAGATAAAATGACAATACATGAGAAGAAACAAAGTCCAGATATTATAGGAAAAAAATACCATTAATCAAACACATCAAAGCAAACAAAAATCTAAACAATCATTCATCTTAAATAGGGATTGTCAAGAAAAAGTGGATAAATTGAAGAAAAAGGTTGTAGATGGTCCTATGGAGATTGGGGTGGGGTGGTTTCTAGGTGCTTTTCAGGGGTTAAGGAATGGAAGGCACTGTTCTTCATTCAATTAACATTCCTATCAAAACAAGCAGGTGCCCTCATCCTTGCTGCTGCAAATCGCTAATGTGAGGCTTCATTTGGGGGCCCGCAGATGGGAAGTTGATAGGAAAAGGAAAACTAAAGAGCAGTGGTTTTCCTGAGGCAAGAGGCTGGTGGGTTTCTTGCAATCTTTCTCATTCTATGAAAAGTGAAGTTCCTTCCAGTCATTCTACACATTTCCCCCAGGAGACCGCTTTCTCACCCATGAATTTACTTATTAATTATAAACTGATGACTCTCAAATTTGTTCCTCCAGCTCACACCATGTCTCTGAGCTTCAGACCTACCTCATGCCTCCCTTCAAGTTGTCCACAGATGAATCAAGTGATATCTGTCCCACAAGTACAATCAGCCCCCTGAGTTCCTTCCCAATCCCAGCCATCCCCAGAAGACAGAAGAGAAAAGCCCTCCTCTTCCTCCTGTCTTAATTCACAGCACACCCCCCTCCCGCACTCACCTGGACCAAAGTACCGTGGCAACCAGGACTCTTTCCCCTGAACCCCATATGTAACTGGCCCTCCTATCCTCTCAGACTCCCCCATCCAGTGTCTCTCAGCTTTGTTCCCACGGCCTCACCTCCAGCACTATGGCACTAATCCAGTCATTATAGGACCTGTGCTCCTGCTCCCTGCCTGCAAGCTTGCCTGCTGTGGTCCATTTTACAGACTGCCTACAAAGTGATTGTTGCTCTGTTCACAGTGCTTCAGGGGCTCCCCAACTCTTACAAACAAAGTCGCTCAAATGAAGGCTGCCTGCAGTACAGATGTGGAAAGGTGGTGCAAGACTGTGCTGGTTAAAATGCAGGTTCCTGGGCCCTGCCCTGGGACAACTGAATCTGAATCTTTAGGGGTAGAGTTGGTAACCTAGACATTTGCCGTTTTCAGCAACCTGGGGAGATTTTATAAAAGCCCCTGTGTTAGAAAACCACTGACTTAGGAGATGAGTCCACTTCCTTGCACAGGATGTAAGGGCTTCCATGCCTTCCAGCATGTCTCTTCTCAAGCTCATTTCCTTCCACTGTGGTGCTTCTCTCTCCTCCATTACGGTGCTGTTTCCCAGATTCCTTTGCATGTGTCTTTGCCCTGCTGGGAATGTCTCTCTGGCTTGCATCTCCTTGGTGAATATGATTCACCTTTCAAGTCCCAGCAGATGCTGGCAAATTGAAGTAGAAGACAAGTAATTATTTGTCCCAAGGTTTTTGAGGGTGCTCATGGTATTCTTAGTGTGCACTGTAATAGCTATTTTCTATGTCTCCTTTGGATACCACTAGTGAAATCACCAGAAATCCTCTTTCCCAGTCCTTACGTAAAAGTAGAACCAGCCCATCAATGATAGGACATAAAAATAAGCTCACACCTGGCCCCACTGATGTTTATACCAAAGGTATGTCTGAGCTATGTGAAAACAGGTTTTTTAAATGACTTTAAAAGGAAAGGCCCCCCAAAAGCCAGAATCATTATTATTTGTTCTAAAATCCAAATGTGTATTTTCCATCCTTTTTATTTACAATATAAAGTGCTTTTCTCAGTAAATCAACAAATATGAGCATTCATGTCACCAAGTGCTGATGATTAAAAATAATTACTTTAATGGTAGCTGGCCTGATGCCAAACACGATCAGGTTTTGCATTTCAAGCATGATCACGGATAATTTACATCTCCTTTCGCACCACTACCCCACCACTCTTAATGGATTCTATTTTAGTTTTTATGAATTAATAGAAATTTAGTGCCTAATTCCCTATATTATAGTCTACAATTTACTTTTAGAGTCCACAGAATTATCTTTTTTTTTTAAGCAAGATGGCTCAACATCACATAATTCAAGTTACTTATTTACAATAGCTTAGCTGTCTGCTTTCCATGAGTCCTGAGAGGAGGCACAAGAATGGGACAAAATGGAAAGGAAAAACAATATTAGGTCCCATGCTTTCCAGGCATTTACTTCAGGGGGACCTTTGTAACCAAGGGCCATGCTTTTTCACAAACAATGCACAGAACCTCTTAAAAGTCCCAGTCCCAGCCCAAGAGACCTGGAGCCGTAACTACATGAGGGCTACTCAGTGTGAGAAAGGATGGGGCCACCTCTTGTCCATTCTTTCTTTTTCTTATTCTTTTGAGGCTTCACATATAATGCAGATATGTCAAAACAGGGCTACAAAGAATTGTAACAGGTTTTTAATGTTTACATTTAACAAATTAATATTTCTTATAAAAAATAAAATATAACTAAATTATTTGAAAGATAATTATAGGATTTATTAACAAGGTATGTATTAATATATGGTACCCTAAAGGCAGTGTGGCCCTGTAATAGGAATCTGGGTTCAATTTGTATGTTTTTTTTCAATCCTGCCTATGTGTCTCTATGACACTGTATGGACAAATAACAGTATATAATCATTTGAAGATAATGTCAAAAGTAAAAATTTAATGTCCCAAGTAAATGTGAGAACTGGCCCTCTGTTTTTCCTGCTAGACAGATTTGTAAATATATATCAAATACATGCACCTTAAAATGTATTAATTATTGATAAGGCCAGGGAAAAAGGGAGTAATTCCCAAGGACTTGGCTCAAAAGGTGTGGCTGTAGTAAGCAAAGATGACCCAAAGACATCACCAGGTCACAAGGAGGATGAATGGGTGCTGCAGAGAGGGAGCAGAAGGGTTAAATGAGCAAAGACGCTCCAGACACATGTAAACCCAGGGCAACCTGGTGTAAATATCCCGTCTAGTCAAGTCCTGCTAGCCAATGGTATGCGAGGAGAAGACATGGCTTTATTTGCTTATTCTGATTAATGTGTTACTTGCACCAGTCTTTCTGACAGTGGGGAAATGTAAACTCTAAGTTTTGCATCTTCATTCGTTATATCTCCTTGGGCCTTCCTTTTGAATGCTCAAGATAGTTGGAGAAAATAACAGTGGCATCATTTTGCAGGAAGTCCTGATTGGGTTGTGAAATGTGGGACTTGCACACATTTTATGTGGAAGTCAATCCAGTTTGCTTGGGAAGGAAACCAATGCATGTCAGGTTATTAGGTGGCCATGAAGGAATGAAGTCCTTTTACATAATTACAAAAAATTACTCTCCCCGAGGATCAGTGGGCTCTCCCACTTTGTCTGGTTTAGGATATACCCTTTGGTCTGAAAATGGCCTTGGACAGTGATACCCCTTATTTCTAAGCCTAGCCAAATTGTCTAGTGCCCTCCATCCAGTTACACAGTATGTAGGAAAGAACCCATAAATATTTGTGATAAATAAGTTAGATAGGTGTGGAGCACGAGAGCCAGTCACCTGTATCTTCTCCTACTGAGTCACCTGTACCTTCTATAGAAACCCCCCAACTTCTGGACAAGTAAACAGACATACACAAGAAATAGGGGCTGGAAGAGAAAGGATTTGGAGAGATGTGGAGAGACAGAAACAGAGAGACACACAAGCTATAACTACTTTCTGATTTACTCTTCTGGGGATTCTCAGATTACCCCAACCAAGGCATCAGGATGCACACACGCCACCTAGAAGGGTATCCTAAGAAATATATCTTATGCAATAATAGCACTTACTGTTGACTTATTCACATATTCACTCAACAAACACTTATTTACCATCTACCATGCTATGGGCACCATGCTGGGTGTTGGCTGTATAACCTGTCCATGAGGCACAGTCTTTCATCTTAAACAGACATGAAAATAGACCATTACAGCATCGTGTATAATGTGTTACATATCCAGTTGCGTGTAGGGCAGGAGGGAAGGGATACAGGAGTGGGGTTGGACTGTGCAGGGAAGGAGTGGTCCAGTAGAGGACAACATGAGCCCTCATCTAGGAAGACCTTACAATCCTATTGGGAGAAGGACCTAATTGATTGATAGCAAAGCAGCATGAGATTAGATAAGTATGTCCTGTGCTCTTAAAGTGAAACTATATTTGCAGCAGGTCAGGTAATCTGAAGAGCAGGCTTTGTGTGATTCAAGGGACAGGCCTGGGGATGTACAGTGAGGGTGAACAGGTAGGAGCCCCTGCTGCTCTCTCAGCAGAGAGCCCTGTGCTCTTTCTCCATAACAATGGCAACAGTTAAAATGAATGAGTTGGTCCTGGCCTGACACTTTATTATCCCATTTAATCCTTTCAGTAGTAGTTTGAGGAGGGCACGGTGACTACACCCATATCTAGGAAAGGCCTACTGAGGTGTGCTGATTTATCTTACAGGTGGAGGTGATGGCACTTGGATTTGAACAAAGGCAGTTGGACTACGGAACACATGAGCCCCTTTTCTGGAGGCCCATTCTGCCCCCTCCAGTGACTTAGCCCACACTCCTGGTGGCTCTTCCACCAACCCCTGAAGCTGTGAAATAGCACGAGACTCAATGGCTCCAAGATGAGGACCTAGCAGAGCTGGGTCCCTGGAGGTCACTGAGGGGCTGTGCCTGGAGCTTCGCGGAAGGGGAAGTGCCTCTGGGTGACTCTGTGGTGCATGTACAGTAAGTCTACCCTCCAGCTCCCTCCTCTGTCACCCACTGGGCTGGAGAACCAGACCTTCTGTGGTCCTTCAGCTCTACTTCCTACAGAGCACCTTCCCCTGACTTTTCATGATTAAACTGCAAATTCCCCAGAGACCTTTGCTTCCTTCTCTCTGCTGCCTGATGCTTCAAACTTGGAAGCACATTTCTGACCCAAAAGGCAGCTTTCAAGGTACATGGGGAATGAAGAGGAAAAAAAAAGAAAGGAAGCCACAAACTCACTTTGTAAGCAAGGCCATTACTCAAACACAGGCAGATTAGAGCTGAGTTGTGAGAGCCCTGGAATCTATTATTCAGACCCATGACTTATGTAGGTCAGTGTAAACAACCCCAAGCACAAAACAGTTAATTTTTATGATGGGTGAGGCATCCAATTTAAGTGGATTGTTCAACATGCTTTATTATGGTTCAAGCCAATTTTCGATTGAGAACAAGGCACAAAGATTGGGGTAGCGACTGAACCCCATTCTTCCTTCCTGCTAAGGAAGTCAGTGGGATCACGTAGGCTCCCTAGGAGTGTCAGTTCTACCAGTCATGACAGAATTTCAATGTCCCTTTGGGTTCTGTGCAACTAGAAGCTGCTTATGGATCTGTGGTCTGAATGGTCAAGTATATCATATACATGGTATATTGAAAGAGAATTGTTCATGCTCTATTTTTAATAGTCTCAACTGGACTTAGTTGATTTAAATGATAAAGGGAATTTTTTGGTTCATGTAACTGAAAAGTTCAGAAGCAAGATATGGTTCAAACATGTATTGATAAGGACTCTTTTTCTGCAATGCACTCCATTCTACTCTCTTCCCTTTAGAGATTTCATTCTTCATGGCAGTAGATGTTGCAATACTTTTTGACCTTATGGACATATTACACACTGCTAAAAGAAGGGACATTCTCCTCAGACAGTCTCTGTGGAAGGCTGAGAAAGTTCTTGCCTAGGAGCAGTAACTCTGAGAGTCTCCTGACATCTCCCTGGGAAAACTCTATCACATGCCCATCTTGACCCAATCACTGTGGGCTCTGGGATTGGATATCTTGATTGGCATAAGCTAATCAGGTGTCATTTCTTGGACTGGAGATAGGGTCAGCTGAATTGAAGCATGGAGTTTATGGTAGAGGAATAGAGATCCAGACCAAAGCTGGGGTATTATTATAAAGAGGAAGGGAAAGCAGATGCCAAAAATAGCATAAGCATTCTACTGATGAATAATATACAGAACTTCTTCAGTCTCACTGATGCTGTAATACTGGCAGTAGGAGAGGAAATTTCAACATCACCATCACCTTCTTGAAACATTTATTTTGGTGAAATCATTTACCTGATACATACATAGGACAGAGGGTTCCTCCAAACTCATGGCTTGCTAAAACATTTTTTTCACTTCAGTCTCTCCATCTTCAACAGCCCCTCTACCAACAAATACATTCCATTATTTTATATTTCTGGGAACCTTGTGGATGTTCTTGAGAACAATATGAATGAGATACATAATCCCTTATGATCCTGGATCATATTGTTAATTTCATAAAATAAAATCATCTTTTGCAGTCAATTCTCTCATATAAAATAAAGTCCAACAATAGTGAGTGAATTTAAAGTGGGAAGATGATAAACTTTATGCAATTTTTTTCTTATAAATCTTATGTGACTTTGTCAATCACACAGGATATTGAAATATAACCATTATTTTATCACAGTGACAAAGGCTTATGAGAGAGCGGCAAGCATCTTGTTTTGGAAAATGTTCAGGCCATTTCTTATTCTTGCTTTTTCCATTTTAATGATATACACAAAAGACACTGCTTTCATTGTAACCTTCTGTATAAAACACTATTATTGACATCTAAGGATTAAGTTTTAATTGAGGATTTCAAATGGTCTATTATCTGTGAACCCTATATAACGATCACAAAGACATCCTAGAGCAGGCAATGAAACAGATAAATATGTTGAAAAGACAGCTAACAGCTCCATTTAGCTCACCCACGCTTGCCAAACTTGACACACACGATTTATCCCAGACTGATGGAAAGGGAGAATAAAATATAGCCAGATTGTGATACTGTATGTTTCTCAGATGGTGTTTCCTTGTGCTGAAAATCAGGTATCTCATATTCCCAGCTATGGCATTCAGATAGCTGTGGATGGGCTTTTTGCCCAAACTCATCATATTTTTTCATGCTTTCATTTGAAGCTTCCTTGAGAGCAAGGTTAATGGTGAGTCTCTCATCTATATGTCTTGGATCAAATGAGTGTTCTTTTCTCTCCAGCACTCAGAGAGTGGAGACATAGCTGTGACTACACCCAAACTAATTTCTACCAATTGAGAAATGAATCCAACAAATATTTAACAAACAACAATTTGCAACAGTGATTGTGAATGATAGGGAGTAAAAGGTTTGCTGTAAAAGTGGCTCCAATGATGTTTTTATAGTCTCTACAATTTTTAGATTTTCACTTGATAGTTTTGCCAGGGGAACATGCCAAAGGGAATTCTGTTCTGGATTCATCTTAATTTAAGTCTCTTTTCACAAGTGATTCAATTACCTGGATTCCAATAGCCTATATGTGAAACCTGGACGAGCCTTAGATCGCAGTTACGTAGTATGGCGGCTAGGCTACAGCTGCAGTGTGTCCATTTTTATTAGAAACAACACCCACCTCCCCACCTTCCTTGTACATTCTCCTTCCCGCCCCACGGTCAGCCAGTCACTTCCTACTTCCTAGCTCAGGATATGCTTAGTCTGGGCTGAACTGAATGCAAACAGTACAGAAAGCCCTGTCAGCAAGGCGGCCATGAAGGAAACCCCTTGTGGACATGGCCTGAAATAGAATTGACCTGCTGCTTCCCAACACCCCTCTCCTTTTTATTTAGGGCACTGGAGACACACAGGAGTTGAGAGGGTGTGGATGAGGGGTCAGGGGAATGTGGTGCCTCTTGGTTCCAGTGTGGGTTTGGTGGGGGGTGTCACTCTGATAGTCACAGATGTTCCTGTTGCTGTCACACCATACTTCTGTTCTCCTCTGGCCCAATGGTCTTATTTCCCACCTGCACCTAGGTAAGTCATGCTGGAGGCAAAATTTGGGCTATGAAAAACAACGCTATTCAAAGAATACCTCCTCAAGTAAGTAAAACCAGTGAAAGGTCTTTGCTGTTACTTTCCAAAGGAGGGCATGATGAAAAGGGTAGTAGAGACAGAGATGTTACGAATAGGCATTATACTGCACTGAACTGGCAATACGCCACACTAAAATGGTATGAACCACAGGTAACAAGAAAATGTTACCATTTGGCATCATTTTCAGAGATCTGAGTATTTGGTAGAAAGATTGGTAGGGAGACCAGGCTCAGCCACATTACCCATGGGTGGTGGAGGTGGGTTGGTGTGCAGATGTTAGAGAAAAAAAATGTTGTTTTCTTTATTCCTTTTGCTTTCTTGGAGGAACTTTACCCACCCTCTAATGCAATTGGCCTCATCACTTTCTTGGAAAAATACTGCCGCCTCTCCCCTCTTGGCTGCACCACCCTTTTTGGGAATGTGGCTCTGCTTTCCGAGCTCTAACGTGCCCCAGGATGTCCCCAGAGGAGCTCTCCAGGACCGTTGGGGTGACTAGGAGAGTCCGCAGCATGAGGCCAAGAGACAGGGCTAAGCAGAAAAACAGGTTCCAACTGAACAGGAGGGAGCGAGGCCAACTTAATGAAGGCGGCATCAGGACTGCTAACCAGAGAGGACTCTTCCTTCAGCCTGGGACCATGCTCTCCCTTCTCCACCTGGAAAATACCCCCACGTTTGCCAAAACCCAACTCACAATCCGCCTTTCCTGGGGTCCCTCTCCAGACTCTCCCAGTCAGAGCTCGAGGCACCAGCCCCCATTACACCAATCCCCTCTTCCCCTCTTCCCTTGTTTACTCATGCTTTCTTTAGTTAGACTGTGCACCTTCAGAGAAAAGAGGTCCTGTCCTATTTATTTTATGTCCCCCAGACCTGGAATAACAATAGGATTGATGAGGAGGAGGAAGAAGAAAAAAGCTAACACTTAGGAGCACTTATTACATGTCAGCCATTGTTCTCAGTGGTTCACATATTCTCACTCATTTATCTTTACAGCCATCCTGGGAGGCAGCTTCTATCATTCCACTCATTTTGCAAATGACAAAACCGAGATCTTTAAAGATTAAGTAACAGGGCCACACAACTTCGGAGTTCTGGCCCTGCTGCCAGATAGACTCAGCACTTTGGCTCTGTCCTCCCTACTCTCAGAGCACATAGTAGGGCTGGACAAATGATCTTTTTAATGAATGATGAATGGACTGGGAAAGGAACCCGAAACAAATGCCACCCAAGAATGGTTGTGATTATTATTATTTTTTTGTCCACAAGCTATGTACAGTTCATATCTTGTTCTCAAACTCTTGGTCTGAAAAAAAGATTGATTTCTTGATTAATGGATTTCTTAAGATGAACAATCTTAGAGAAATTTAAGCATAAATACTATTCAGTCATATACAACATATTGGCATATATATGTACATATGTGTATACATGTGTGTGTGTGTTTGTATATATATATATATATAAAATTTGGAACATAAGGCTGCTATGAATGTTGAATCAAATAATCTCAAGTGTAAAAGTCACCTACATTAACCACTAACCTTGTGTTTGTATCCCCTCTACAAATTACTCATTTATAATAATTATCCAGCCTTGGATTGAACTCCTCCATGGATGAGAAACTTACCCCCTCTCAGAGCAACCCTATTCCCTCTTAAAATGGCTCCACTGTTGGAATGTCTTCCTTAAACTGAGCTTCCTTAAACTTACACTGATAGCTTCCTGGAGCATCTGCCACTGATGAGTCTAATAGGAGGCAAAGTGCTGGGCCAAAAGACATCTTTAGCTCTCTTTTCTCTATATATAGTTAAGTTATTACACAGTAATCCGTCTGTCATAAAGGAACAAATCACTTGGATTTTACTCACTGTATCCAAATCTTACTGGTTGACATTGTTTCATCTTCTTGGGCTTGGGGGACCTAGGGAAGAGAAGGATGAAACTTCTAAATCTAAAGCAAATGTGATGATAGGATTTGTAAGTCATTTAGAATGATGTTTCTCAAAATCTAAATCTAATGTGCTCACAAATCTGTAGGTGTTGTTATGTGTTGATTCTGATTCAGCAGTTTTGATTAGGGCCTGAGATTCCATATTTCTAATAGGTTCCCAGTTGATGCTGACACAGCTGGTCCAACCACTACACTTTGAATAGCAAAGAATGAGAACTTACGAAGGTGTGAGACTACATTTGCAGTAATTCTCCTGCTCTTGGCATTTTCCTTTAAAGTTGGGACCCTGATTGTTTAGGAACTCTAGTTTGTCCATCATCTGACAGCAGTATTTCTCAAACTTTAAAGAGTATAAAGAATCACATAGGGGAATTCTTTAAAAATTCAGACTCTC